CGTTGGCGATAAATGATATTTATTTCTGTAAGTAAATCTTTTCAGATATTTTTACAAGTCGGACTTTATAGATAGAAGGAGCCGGCATTTCCTAAGACTCACTCTGGGAAGAAACGCCGAAACAAACCACAGAGGTGTCTTTTTTTTAAGTCCGTAAACAAAGTTAAATAAAACTGTGCGAGTACAATATAGGGTCTGGATAGGCCTTTTGAGGCCTTTATAGTTTTGAGTCAGCCTGTCCATACAGACGGCATACAGGCTCCAGCCATCGTGTAGCCTAACCGATATTGGTCAAGATCAACGACCCGAAGCATGACACTACCGCCTGCAGGACATTTGGGTAGGCCGTGGAAACACTCAAAACCACCAGAAAGATAATAAAATATGAATTAACATTACAAGCCTACACTATACTCACATTTACATACTTACACAAAAAATAAAAAAATACTATACAATTCAAAGTCAACGAAAAATAAAATACGAAATACACCAAAAAAAAAAAATGTCCATCACTTTCAAACTTAACAACAAAGATGTCTACGTAAATGTGGGAGTGAGCAGCATCAATCCCAAGCAAATTTGTCGTCTAAATAATCTGTAATAGTGTAGTAAGCCTTTTCACATAGTTTTAGCTTTACTAAAGACTTTAATTTGATAATACTTAATTCATGGAATTTGCATGGCACTTAATTGTAAAATCGCACACCCTGACAACGAAAAGACTTGCTTACTTTTTGTGGTCTAGTGGTTGGTAACACGAGTTTATCTTTATTTCTAGTGTTTATTTTATGCATGTCGCTAAACTTTGTGAATAAATGAATATTTTTCTTTACATACTTACACTAAATTTTCATATATGTATTGAGATGCGACTGTCATGATACCAATTTCTTTAAACTTATCCCTCAGTGACTGCCTATAACTGAGATTAAAAATTGCACGAATAGCTCTCTTTTGCAACAAAAAGATACTTTGAATGTCACCAGCATTTCCCCACAACAAAATACCGTATGACATTACACTATGAAAATAGCTAAAATACACCAATCTAGCTGTTTCTACATCGGTTAATTGACGAATTTTGTAAACCGCGTATGCTGCAGAGCTGAGTCTATTCGACAATCCGTCAATGTGTGGGCCCCATTGCAATTTAGAGTCTAGTGTTATACCTAAAAACTTGGTGGTGTCCACAAGATTCAACTCCTTTCCATTTATTAGAACATTGGTCTTTACCTGCGTAACATTAGGTGTAAAAAATCTAATACATTTCGTTATTCTCGTTTAAAAGTAAATTATTAACATTAAACCAGTTCACAACCTTAGAGAGAGTGCTATTCACGTCATCAGTTACTGATTGCTGTCGTTTAAGTTTAAATAAAAGTGAAGTATCATCCGCAAATAGTACTATCTCCTGATTATCATTTATCACATTAGGTAGGTCATTTATGTAAACAAGACATAAAAATGGGCCGAGAATTAAGCCCTGCGGAACCCCCACAGTGACCAGAGACCCCAGGGATCTCTGTCCATGTCCAATGAAACCGCTAACAGCACGCCACCACAGCCCACCGCCTCTTCGGTTACAGCCCTCGGGCGCAGCACAGCGCCGACCATTGAACTTATGTATGTGTACATATGTGTTTAATTGAGAATTTATACAAACTGGGAAGACTAACCCCAGCAGGGCCTCCTATAAACGCTTATAAGTTTTGAACCAGTGACCGAGAAATTCTGATATTTAGCGATAAATTTCGACTAAATTTTTGTATCATCAAAATTAAAATCCATGATGGTGGCAAGTGTCAGTGACGCCAGTCCTCCACGTTTCGTTCACGCTGCCAATTTGAAACTCTTATGACTTTTATATTTCTACTTTGACAAATTTTTGGTTGGTTCTCTTGGATTTTGACAAATTTCGACAGATTTTGGCCAGTTTTTTTTATCGATGTCGTGGCGCAGCAATCGAAACGCACACTATTTTTTAAGCATATAGAACAAGGTAAAGTACAGGTTGCACAGTAAATTACGATGCACTTTAAAAAAAGAAGTTTTTATTTCATAGACTTTATTAGGGCAACAAAAATCTCAAACAGTTTTAACATGGTTGATATCTTTCGGTCAAACATAAATTTAACACAATCAGTTGTCCTTGCTGTCACCAAGTTAAAGTAGGTTATTAAATTCAGTACACAATTTAAAGTAATTCATTTCTTTATTTTTTCGTCTATTCAGTACAGTCAAAATAAATAATAAGAAATGATTGTTTTCAACTACTAAATATACTAGTGAGCTAAGTAAAAACGTGCAGGTTGCACAATAAATTATATTAATACAAAAATCAAAGAAAAATAAATACATATCATTAAATAAAATAATATAAATAAAAGAAGAAGTATATTTCTTAGACTTTATTAAAAATATCTCAAACAAAGTAAACTAACGTAAATAAAAGTGTTTTAGTACTTCATTAAACCATGTTCCATATCTTCCCGTTAAACATAAATTTAATTTAAATTCGATCACAGCAACGATATTCAGCTTTGTTGAACATAAACAAATTTTGTTCACTAATACAATTAAAGTATAATAATGAACTAAACAATTTGAGATTAGCCATAAAATGATCTACAGATTATAACGAGATCATTACTACAGTTATAGAGGAATGGTAGGTAAGTTAAATACCAACATTGCAATCGTAACTACTAAACTTAATATTAATTATTAATAGACAGAACATGCATGTTTCTACTACAGTTTTATGATTCACAACATTTACCTTATTCTAAATATTTCGATGAGATCGTAAACTTTGCGATAAAATATAATAAGTATACTTAGTAACTAAACAGCTTCAAAAGTGTAATCAATTAAAAATTTAACGGACTCAGCCCTAATATTTTTCTCTAATAATTTTAGAACTTACATAACTATACCATTATAAAGTTACGACTGTTAAACATGATTTTGAAAATGGTAACTAAACACTACTCGTAACTTGAATCTAAAGTAAACTCAATTTGTCAAATCGAATATCTATGCAGAAAACTTTTAAGTCCACCATACAAAGCAGCAGAGAAATTGTAATAAATGATTGTAAAAATTCTTGAAAGATGTGTTCGTAAGGATGGAATGGATATTACTGGAATGCATATAAAACAAATGAAAAACAATTCCAACTGATAATTTGGAACCTAAGCGACATCAATACTTTATCGGCTTTAGCCCAGAAGACACAATTTCTACAAATAACCAGTGGGTTTTAACAATTGCGTCCCACAATATAATTTTTTAAATACAACATTTTTCTCAAATATTCCAATCATAAATCTATGAAGACCACTGTGGCTGCAGAGGGCTCTCATGAGATTCGGTTATTTTGGGAAATATGGGGCTTGTGGGCCCAAGCCTTTTTACTATTTAGAACTACTATTTTACTATTTTAAATGTAACACACAGAATCTCGGAATGTTTTTATATAACATAGACACTACAAAGATTTATTGATTATAATACTCTATACACATAATAATAAAGATAAAATTGTTATGAAATTGAAGTTTGGTAGTCTTAAAAAAGTAGGTATAAAGGGTAATGGCAGGCATGTATGGGACTTTCGTACCTCATGGTAGGGATTATTGTTCTATTTATTTGGCTTGGAAATTAGCATATTATCGAAAATTAGAGTTTTGATTATAATTAATTCATTTTTCAGATTTTATTTCAGATTTATATACTATTTATAATTAATTATCAGATTTTTATGACTTTACGTGCAAAAGTTACTTCTGTTTGTAGTTTATATATGGGCTGTACTGAAGTCAGCTGGCTGACATGTGAGTTGTCAACTAGTTAACGCAGGTACTTAATTAATTAAATTAATTACCTTAATTTATTCCTTTATTACTTCGTCTAATCAGTAAAGTCAACATTAGTAATAAAAGAAAGGATTGTTTAAATGCACTAGTGAGCTAATTTTCAAATATCGATCGAAACATACTACGGTGTTGGTGTTTTCTATGTATAATGTGTACGTATTTACAATAAAAAGTATAGTATTCTATCAATCAATCTAGTTTTCATAGTACACGCTCTGCTTAGTTTGAAACCAGATGGCATTGTGTGTCAGATGTCCGAAAACATTATTATTATTATACTGATTATATGTCATTTTTATTTTATGCATGGCAAGTTCAGAAAAAGAAAATTTAGTTATTGCACTTGTCACGGTTTTTTGAGAAGCATTTAAATACTTTTAGCAAAGTTCTAAAAATATGATAATTACTCAAATATAGGATGATTCGCTTTATAAACAACAGTACAAAGCTCATAACCGTCCATCATATGTTACTAGCTGTACGTGATGTGCAGTTCTTCTTTGTATTCGCTACAAACTTCAGATTATGATTTACAAACAGTCCCACGCTTGTGCAATCCTGTGTTATCAAAACCATATTAATGAACTAAAAACATAAGAAGGCATAATAAAAAAAATGCAGACCACTGATAAAGGTCTGTAGATTAAGTAAATAACCCCAATGGGGAATTGGACCCGCGACTCCTACACGATAGATTACGGCCCATTTCCTTAAATTGGTCATATACTTTTACAAATCTACCGCGATACCTAACAAAAGCGCCGCTATTATAGGATTTCAATCACATTAAGGACCCTGCAAGGAGTAAAGATTTCAGGTTCAGTCACCTTTCATGTTTCCAAACTGATATTCAAGGGAACCATAGTACCCTGTAATTAATCATAGGAAGTGGGAGAGTAAATAGTTATCAAAAAACTGCTACTTAATATAACTACGAAATATGGCGGTATTCAAGAGTATACGTCTACAACCAGCTACACATTTTAATATACTGTGTAGTAGATAACTACTTTAAAAAAATACATCAATATGTTATGAAATACATAGACGGCAACACTTGAAAATGTAATACACTTATAGAACTGTCTCGGTGGACGAAATTTTAATCAAGAAATAAATTTAGTTCACTAATGGGTCATCGGACTCTTCTTGTATTTCAAGTTGAAATTGCGCTGGCTCAATCGTTGCGAGCCTTATCTCCTCAAGTGCCTCGAGCGTGCGATCGACAGCCTGTAAGCGCTTGAGGAGGCTGTCAGTGGAGAGGATTAATACCTGTAATAATAACAAATCGTAAAAAAGCCTGTTAGTCAACGGAGAAAAGAAGAATATCGTTAATAGAGAGTTCGTATACGGCACTATACTACGAGTATACTAATTGTTACCAAGTAATAAGAAATAAAACGCTTCTAGTAGTTCCAAGATTTTTACCTTCAATAAAGTTAAAGTTACATCTCCAAAAAGCAATCAAGCTCCCTCGTTAAATTAAAACTATCCCTTTAGAACAAAAAAATTGATTCAATTGAAAAACTAATCAAAGAATATTATTTTTGCTATATTGTGTCAAAATAATAGAACTAATTTGTGAAGAACATAATCTTATCATCAACAGCCTATAATAGTCCACTGCTGGACATTGGCTTCTCCTTAGAAATGAGGTTTTGGTCTACTATACCACGCTGGCCAGACGGGTTTTGGTATAGGGTTTGTTTCTAATTTTCCTTATCTTTGCCGTGCTGTTCTTCTGCGTAGTTTGTTCTCTTACTCAGCTTTTACGATTAAGGATAAGGATTAAGGGTGGTGACACTCCGTATTTTTAATCCGTCACCACACGGATTACTCACCTAAACTTCTTATGGGCAATACGTATTTTCAGATGGGACCATGCTTATACATATAAAATCTTTGTGACATAAGATGATTTAAGCGATTATTAAATATTAATAATAGCTGTATTCATCCTCAATATTTATATATCTTGCTCGCATCTTGTAAACACGTACCTTTATTTCAGGTCTCAGAGGTAATATCGCCACGAGCCACCAAAGCCATTTGGGCCCATCCTTGGTTTTCCACCAGGCTTCGCCAGTTGCCTCAATGTTGTAATCCGGTATTGAGCCAAAGGCGGTTTCAATATCCGCCATTACGTCTTCGTGTAATTGACTTATCCAGAATGTAGCTTTTAACAAGAGTTTCGAGGCTTGCATCTTAATTTCGTGGGCTGCCCTTTCAGATCGGACCTGTATATCTTCAACGGGCTCGATGCGAGCAACTTCACATCTATAAAAAACATAACGTAGTACTTGGTTATAACAAAAAAAAAATCAAATAAGTTTACGGCTCGTCTCTTTGGTAAATATAGTCAGTCACAGTAATAATAACTTCACACACGGCGGGATCCGAAACTAGACGGAACCTGTACTACAGTAAGCCTACTACTGTACTACTGTACCTGTACTACTGATAAACATATTTCTTATGTTTTAATATAGTTTTTCAAATATTTTATGGTGTGGTGTCTAATCAACTTGTGACTAAATTAATGTATGCTTTATTTCTCTATAACAATGTTTACTTATATAAGATAGCACGCGCAACTCTACTCATGACCTGATTTACTCTGGCTGCATATTTTAACAACCATTTTTATCTTTATTTAAAGATATCTAACCTGAAGTGATCAGAGTTATCTTGGACTGGAGCAGGTCAGATAAAGTTATCCAGAAGAAAGTTACTAAAGACATAGTTCATAAAACAAAGCAGTTTAAGCTGTAATGGCCATTAACTTAAACATTGTAAAGATTATCTTCAAATTGCACACATGCTCTTGGTCTTCTGTTGTACTAAGAGTATAACAGTTAAAAACAACTTAAGACTTACCCATCCCTAATGCATCTCTCGATCACCTTGAACCGAATCGTGCCCACTGTAGAAAGGATGGACCGGCCATCTTCAAACTGCACACAATCGCGCACTTCCAAAATCTGTAACATACATAAACAACTTTGAGTACAGTTCCTGTGTATATTACATAGATAACATGTATTTCTTAGTAAAGCTTAAAGTCAATGTAACACAACATAAGCCCTTAAAACTCTTAAGTACAAATTTAATTGTATAATTAATACTAACAACTTCTTGTGTATTATTTATTTATAGGTACTAGTGAAGGTTTATCGCTTTCCATATTTAATTGAGCACGTGTTTAGTTTTGTAAACATTACCTATAAAAAAAAAACTTTTGTCATCGCAGAAATGAACATCAATAGAAAAAATGATAATATTAATATAACTATTTATATTTGCTAATTATTAGGTTTTGGAGTATAGAGTTTTAACTTAATGATTTTTATTCAATTACAATTCATCAATCAATACATTGATCACAAAAGGGCAAACAATGTGACAAATATAATATAAACATCTGTATACATAGTATATTTGAGGTGTTAAAGCTTATATACAAAACTAACCGTTCCGTAGTCAGCGAACTTTTTGTCATTGTCCATAGCAATCATACCGAATCGACGGGATCCTGATTCCAATACGCGCCGAATCATCAACCAATAGCGAGGATCAAAGATGAACAAGGGGCATGGAACACTAGACAAATGATACATGTTTAGTATTTTACCAAAATTGTCGAAAATAATACAGAATATACGACCTTAAGCTTACAATTCCACTAAATTTAAATAAAACAAGAGTCTTTTAGTAACTAATCGATATTGAAAATATCATTTTTTTTATTGTGTATAATTTTTTTTTTAATGTAATCTTTGATACAACGCGGCAATGTTTGTCATCTTAAAACGGCTTTGGATATAATTAATTTATAATCGGCCATTACAGATAACTCAAATGCTAAGTGAGACAATAACACACAGTTATTTGAACAATAACAGTATAAAATGGTATGCTTACGTTGGAAATGCAACTGTGCACACGAATATAGGAACAAGATCCTTTTCTTCCATAGGTCCTGACATTTTAAGAGCATTGATCGAAGCCAGAGCAGCGTGCACGAATAACGTGTCTTTACTCTGAAAACATCAATTATTAACAACTTACTTTAGGTTTTCATTCATTATTTTTTATGAAATTAATTACAAATCACGCTAACTAGATATGTGTGTTTACAGACATTATACGACGTCGTAAATATTTTTACATGTGTTTTTTGCGTATGTTATATGTTGTGATCGACGATCGAAATCGCTATGTTTAAAAATATGCAAATTTAATGTTGGACGATTATCGAGGCGAAAACCTTCAAAACTGTTATTGTGTGTACAAAATGTATTGTGTACAAAACTGCGTAGGTTATTGTAATTTTTATAAAGTTTATAAGCAGCTGTTTCTTATCTATTTAAAATTTACGATTTCACGTACATGTAACTTTTTCAAGGATTTAATAGCGTGACGAGTTTTATAGTTTAGTGAGTACCTTACCATAGTAAAGTATTCTTAAAATAACCCTCTAAACTCTCCGCTCAGATTTCTGATGTATATATTATATTTATATATACATATAATCTAGTAACGAAGATATCTGGCAATTTCAAGGGCAGACAAACAGATCAGCCTAAAAATGACATAAACAACCAAAAACAAGAGCTATTACTCGTAATAGCAGTGCCTCCTTTGGCCTGATTTGACTTCCCTTTCTTGGCTATTTATATACAAGATTAAAATAGTTTGAACAATCTTAGCTCAGCCGTGGATTTGCTAATTACACGTCTTTAACTACGATTAGTTTAATACCTACACTAACAAGACATACATTGTAGTCATGTAGTTGGCACCAAAACCAAAACCAGTGGCGGATTTACATATTTGCCGCCTGTAGGCTATTAAATTTTTGCCGCCCTTACTAACCTCTATAATTTATACCCTTTTTTCAACGTGTGAAATTCCTCACCGGGGTTTGCGTCGGGTCGGTGTATGGGAATCAAACCGACAAAAACAACACGGTACGTCACTTCGCGCCTGAGATAGTAGTAGTAGATAGGGCCGGGAACAACTAATATTAGGACATCCGGACCCTTCCCAGCGCCTGCCCGCAACAGCGCGGGCATCACCTTTGTGTAAGCCCATCGTATTGCTAGAAGAGGCGGGAAAATATCGTGCAGTGTTCCACAAGGGTCTGTTCTTGGAACCCTCTCGTGGACCATTGGGTACGACTGGGGCGTTTGAGGAAATAATTTTTTACGCCGATGACACTTTGGTTACAGCCCGAGCGGCCAACTTTCAAGAGGCAACGTGCCTGGCCATCAGGTGTAGGTATCTCTCAGATGGCTGGGCACATTTTTTTTAAGTAGATAACACCCGCATTAGAAATATATCCTGGGTCGCCAGGGCCTTTATAAACATTTATTATATGAAACGGACACAAAGAACACCCAGACTCAGAACAATCATCATCAATTAGAAATATATCCTGGGTCGCCAGGGCCTTTATAAACATATATTATATGAAACGGACACAAAGAACACCCAGACTCAGAACAATCAGATTTGTCGACACAAAGTGTTGTCCCATGTGGGGATCGAACCCACAGCACTCAGTGCAGTAGGAAGCGGCGAGTTGACTGCTTAAATCACTACGTCATCCGTGCAGTCAATAGACATCATTGAGGCGCTAGACTTACAGGTGGCCCTGTAAAGGACGGAGGCCCTCTTTTTAAATGGGCGCCGTCGTGATCAACTCGGTCCTCGTACTGGTTTAGTAACTAGTAACGAGCACTTCCGACAGCTTGCTCCAAAGCTAGTCGGCGCTACGTTTGTCCTTGGGCGACTTTTTGGTTTTGTTTTTGGAACTCAATTTGGGTGGACCCAACGTCCCGACAAGACGGCTGGACACGTGGGTTGTCCGGTCAATGGCCCTGTACAGTGTACCAGTGCGGACGGTAGCCCAGAGTAGGGAACGCCTGTGGCGCCCTCAGAAGCTATTGACGGTTAGAGACATACGCGGTTGACGCACCATTTTTTTTTTAGTATTTGCTTGAAAACAATTTAGAAATGTGACGATAATCTTAAGCCGCAAGCTTATTCAATCCACGTATTTGCTATTCATAACGGGGGCCGTTTAATAATGGCGATTACAATAAAGAGAATAAGAACTAAATTACCTCGCTTATCTTAAACTCGCCCAAACCCCGTAGGCATAACGGGCACCTTCTCCTATAATCCAGTGTTTTCTCAAGACAAGTCCTGCAGAACATGTGGCCACATGGCGTGGTCACTGGTTTGGTCAGGACCTCACAACATAAAATACACTCCATGTCTCGAGTAGTGACCCAGCTCATAGAAGTTTGCTGACGCACATACTGATTCAGTTCTCGAGTCAAACCCCTCGGGTCACGGTTTTTACTTAATACCATTACAACCTGAAACAGAGTATGAAATTTTATATTTTCATTTTCGATAATGATATAAAAGTTTTTTTTTTATTCTAATGACGATGATATTAGAGAATTAGAATATAACTTAGAATTGTAACATCAAACACAGTAATAATATTAATAGATTCATGAATGAATATGAACCTAATATAAAAATAGTTATACATATGATATTTGCGGTACAATGTGTGTTCATTGAAAAGAGATGTTGCTCAGCATAATGCTACGATACAGCGCTGATTTAATTTGCCGCATCACCTCAATAGTGATATGTGCGTCTAATACACTCCAAATTAAATTTTTATTTTGAAATAATATTATTAAACTATACAAAATTCTCTAAAAAAGAAAAAAATACAGATTATTGCATACTTGTCGATTTTAAACTAGGATTGTATTTGTTGGTTTAATAATTTTTATATTTATAATTAATCTGCAACTTTAAGATACCTATTTTTTTTTTGTGTAACATTCTAAAACAAATTGACTGTATGCTTATTGTAGTAGTATGCTCAATATTTTAATTTTGTATTTTTCATGTTTAGATTGAGGCTATATATAGCTTTGTATACAGGACCAATACTTTTAATAATGAAAAATATATGAGTTGGGTATTAAAACCATAATATTATTATGTAGAAAATAAGTTTCAAAAGATTAAATTTTAGGAATTTCAGAACAATCATAGTGGAACGAATATGAACTTAAAATGGATTCAACAAGAGGTTTGGCTATCAACGTTTGTCTGCATCTTTTTGCTTAGAAAACTCTTAGACCTTAAATTCGAGCCCGGTTCTTAGTTAAAGTGTCATAAATGAACTACCTCGCTGCCAAATTTAAGAAACGACAGTTGTTTCTGGAGTCAGGATTTACTTCCGAGTTCAAAGGCTATACTGCCTTTTTTCGACCGTTATAAACTGTTCGGATAAAAGCCAAATCCTTAGATCAATATACATTTTGGGCTAAATACAGGGTTTTTCAATAAGGGCGGGTAGATATTTAAATGATATAAAACAAGTTACGTGTGAGGTATTAATAAAATTCTTGCATAGACCTGCGACTTTAAGAAACCCCACAAGATAAAGTCTAGCGGGGTTAAATCGCATGACCTTGGTGGCCAATTCACATCACCCCTGCGAGAGATAACCTTACCTTTTAATAGTTCATGAAGAATGTCAATCGTGGCGGCAGCTGTGTGGCACGTAGCACCATCCTGCTGGAACCACATGTCGTGTAGATCCATGCGGTTCAATTTGGGCCATAAGAAATTTGTTATCATCGTTCTGTAGCGCTAGCCGGTGAACGTGACCACCTGACCAACGTCGTTTTCGAAAAAGTACGGACCAATGAAGCCACCGGCCCAAATTCCACACCAAAAGGTAACTTTTTGAGGATGCATTATCCCCTGGTGAACCTCGCGTGTGTTGGTGTCGTCCCATATACGCCAATACTGCTTGTTAACACAGCCAAAAATGCGCCTCGTCGCTTAAGATGATTTTTCGGCCTACAATTGGGGTCCTCTTCCAAACGGTTTGAAGCACTAAACAGCGAATAAACGGAGTTGTTTATGGTCTTTACTTAACTTTAAGTTCCTGGTTCAGTTGGATCTCGTGCGGTTGTAGGCCTAAGTCCCGACTCAAAATTCGCCAAGTTGAAGTCTGCTGTATACATTCACGGATCGCGGCGATGTTTTGCGTCGATCTTGCGTTTCTTGAACGTACGTGTGTCGGTTGATTGATTACCGAACCGATGGTCTCAAATTTAGCCACTTAAACGTTGAAGAGTCGACTGTGAAGGGCCACCACGTCTACCGTAAAATGGGCGCAATGTTTGCACTAACGAACACTCATTTTAATAATAAAGTTTTATCATTTGAACGTGCTCTTCAATCGTGTAACTTGCCATGGTGATTTGTATAAGTAATTGAATAATAAACAGAAGATTTAACAGATGTCATCAAAAAAAATATGGCCGCCGCGGACCGCCAAAATCTACCCGCGCTAATTGGAAAACCCTATGTTTCAGAAACTTACGATAATGTTGGCTTATTCCTTATACCTTACGATGACAACACCTCAATCCATAGCTCAAAGTGTTTATGAAGTGATATTTTAGCCTACTAATACATATTTTAATATATACTTAAACAAGTTTTTACTTTTCTTTGAAATGTGTAATGTTATTGATATTTTATTATTATATATTCTGTAGATTGGTACGATTATAACTTTAATATAATATAGGTATTTCAGACAAAGTGTTGGCAGCTACATACCTGAGCAAGTAGTGTACGTGCTACTTGCAACTGTGAGTCGCAGGCAGCTGCTGCAATTGCCAAGTGTGGGGCCGCGTCCTTGTAGTGGCCACTCCGCAGCAGCTCCAAAGCATAGGCGAATCTTGCCTGACCGACAATAGAAAATTGATAAATTATATTTATAACAATATTATATGCAACACTAAAACTTTTGTTAAAAACAATTGCTGAGCTGTACGAAATCAAAGCGATGATGTCATCTCAACTGTATCTTATTTACTATAGAATGTAGCGAGGTCAGTGCACCCATCACACGAACGTTCTTTTTAAGATTCTCATTATGATCTTTTGACATTGACGCACATTCGTTACGATGAGAATTGCTAATTATATTATCGGTGTCAGTGCATGTGTCAGTGAACATGTTTACATATAAATTATTAAGGCGCTATAATAAATATTGTTTACCCGAGCAGACATGGGAATGTGATGATGAAATTGATCGGTGGGAGTTTGGAGAAACCGCTTGGCACGCTTAGCCCGAATAGGACCCACGCACGATGCACGAGCGCCTTTTGCTGTGGACAACAGATAACTTGTTAAAAAAAGTTTATAAAGTAAAAAAGATGACGTTACTTGTTAACTATCGACATCTAACAGAGTTTCGAAACATAGCTTACGTTCCCGTTATGTGACATATGTTAACAAAGAAGCCCCATGCCTCTTGTGACATTTCGTCCACGATGCTATACATATAATACCAAATTATATAACTAGCAATGGAATCAGAGTTTGTGTTACGTTACGTAACATTGGTGTGAGTTACGAGCGCGCAGCGTGTTGCTACTGGATCCAGATACAAATCGAGTCAAGGTTGCGATCGGTGCAATAGTACACTTACGAACGTATGAAATCGCCGTTACAATTTATTGCTTAACTGCTTGACGCAATACACTTAAAAAACGGGTCTACTTGCTGGTAATCTGTGGTGTTACAAACTTAAATGCAAAAACATTTGATTTTATTGCAAAATAATCGTGACTTTGGGACACGTTGCTATTGCGACAATAGTGTTTCTTAATTTCGTCTATAGGTATTGAACGGTGTATGTTATGTAAGTCGCTTAAGGCTCATGCATTGCGTAAACTTTAGCTTCACAATGGTATCATTCAAGTTCTTCGCCGCTAGAGCTGACTGCGACCTTTCATGATCAAACCTTTACTACGCGAAGATTATAACGAATTTTTTAATAATTATTTAATAGGAATTATCTAAAACTGTTACTCTCTGTAACTCTGCCTGAGTTACGATAGAGCTCTTTGACTGCACGTATGGTTCGATCTCTACATGGGACAATTATTGTTCAGAGTCTGGGTGTCCTTTGTGACCGTTTCATGTATGTTTATAAAGTCCCCCGCGACACAGGATTTATTCCCAGTGCGGGAGTTGTATTTCTTAAAACAAAGAAAACAATGCTCTGAAGTACCTAAATGTGTATACCGTGTTTAATAATCATTAGAATTAAGAACTTTTTTAAATTGTAGATATCGCTGTTACATATTATTAATATTGATAGTGTAATCCAAGATATTTTATAAATGGCTAATATATAGCTTGTAAACATATTGGATGATGACGTTGTAAGATCGGCAGATAAACTCTCTTTTAGTATTTAGGACAGGCCTACGTCCTCATTCGACATCCCGCAGTCGAGACAATATTGATGATGAGGATGCTAATGGTATAGACTTTGTATTTTATCTACTAGTGACAAAGGAATAAAAACAATAACACAAACTAATTTATGCAATTTATATAAACACATCGATGAAATTACTTTTTTATCTTAAATTGAGATGATTGACATTGATTGCACATTGTATTAGCAACGTAATATTGAGTATATACTTGTATTTTGGTAGTAATGTAATTTTGACTATGTGAAATAATAAGCGCACTTCAAGTTCGTTTACTTAAGTTTCATCTTATTATCAAAAATATAAGAAATATTTTTTAATAGAAAACATATCCGTAGGAAGAAATATAGGTTACCAACACCTATTAATTATTTTTCAAATAAGTAATAACGTTAATTTGTTCAATGGTAGACTTAGAGATACGAGTGTGTACCTAATTGGTTAGTTGATAATTAGTATTGTGATCAATCAATCATATTTAACAACTAAGAAGCCTATGTATAATATTAGCGAACTTTAATTAGTTGATTTATCATACAGTAAAAATCTGAGAATCGAACGCGAATATGAAGAGCTTGGACGCGCAGAATTGAATCTATAGAAGGGCAACATGAAATCATACACCTACGTGTAGCACCGTAATCCAGATAACCTTTCTAGTAGCTAACTATAGGGCTGAAACTTGAAGGAGAGCTATACCCCTTGAACAGGCGGTACTATTCGTGTACTCGTGATTCTAGACAATTTGCGGAATACAATTTATTTAAATACCATTTTCATTCGTGGTTTGTAGAATTTAGACGTGAACGTGATCATCTACATAACGAGGTACGTAAAGGTCAGCCGGCGACTGCGGTTGCAGACTCTAATATATTGACACCGTACGACAACTAATTAAAACTGACAAAAAAATACTTGCCAACAAATTGATTTGTTGGGCATTTGAAGGTAAGGAATCTTTGCACATGGACACTGCATGTAATCCGCACGTAATACGTGTGTGTGTTTACGTTTCCTTTAATAATATGCACAGTGGTTTCATCGAATGTACTTTGAAAAACAATAAATGTATAAGTAGTATTATATCTAGTCTTATTTATCAGAATCCGGAAACTTTTAGTAAGACCTAAGTATAAGTATCTTATTGAAATTGTATGAATATTGTAGCTATTACTACATATAAAAATGTGTAATATTCTACGTGTAAAAATACCCATCCATAACCATGAATTGGTTAAGCTGAACTATAATATTTTATAGACGCGAATAACGCTTACATTAAGTAGGAGGATATGGTGACTATTATGTAAATGAATGTTGTCCGTGTAGTCACGGACTAACAATACCCCTATTCATCCCGTGGGTGTCGGAAGAGCTGACTACGAGAACAAACTACGCAGGAGAATAACACTGCAAAGAGAAGGCATACTTGACACAAACCCGTCTGGTCAGCGTGGTATAGTAGGCCAAAACCTCCTTTCTAAGGAGAGGCCTATATCCAGCAGTAGACTACTAAAGGGTGTTGATCTGATATAAATGTATATCTTTATCGAATTCATGGAAGTAACCTATTTTCGTGACAAAATCTTTCATCTTCCGTTTCCTACAAGGGCTTTATAATACTTCAGGAACTTATTTAATTTATCAATACAGATAATAAGTTACGTGACTTATGAGCAGTAGGTATTAGTTGGCATGAATGAGTTCACTAGTTACATAATTGATTATATTTTTAAATAACAATATCTACAGTAGCTATTGAAATTGTATACGGTTATCTTATCGCTGTTATTGAAAGAAACAAGTATTTGTGGGATTAATTAGTTATTTATATTAAGGGATGAAAAGTGAACTGGCTCGGATGTTATCTTACGTAATAATAGCTAAGCTAATTAGTATGTATATTTTACACAGCGTCTGCGATTTTTACGTTATAACTGCGAGTGCCCCGTGCAAACCTCAAGGTCGGTGCGCTCTCTGGAACCACTTAGAAGACCTACGATGTTATTAGGTGCTAGATCGTAAGACCCATACCTATTTGATAATCTATTATACGTCAGGACAAGGTTTTGTATTTCTAAAACTGTAATAAAGAACACGCCGCGCTTACGGGGTAAGCCGATCAACCATAAAAAGTGATGCCAAATATACCTAGTTATGAAATCCTCATATCTATGTATATTATTACGTGATGAGAATCTTTCAATCCAAACTTCATAAAAGTCAAATTTGGAATAGCCAAAGTTTGTACATGTTACAGTCGGAACTTTTAACTGCTGAAATTTTTAACCGGCAAAATCAATCAAAAATAGTTTTGAACGCATCATCATACTTACTGTTATAACCTTATCTCACTCAAATGATTCACCAACAATAGAGATCTGACTGTGCCATACATACCAATTTGGTACAGAAAACGTTTTTTTTTACCAATAATAATTTAAATTTCATAAATTACTTGAAAACGACAATATCATGCAACACTCGTAAAGCGTTATAATATGTATACATCTTATGTTGACATGTCCTGGTAAGTAAGAACTAACAATCAGAGTTAAAAAAAATGTATGAAATATGGTCGAATTTTAACAAGAATCTCTTCGGTAAGAAATTGCACTAATTTGTAAGTAATCGCGTAGAGACCTATATTGTTGGCGTAACGTAAGCGTAACCTGCGACCTGACGGCGTTCTCCATTGCATCGCCGACAATGTTGTTACATAACACGAATGTAACAAACAAATGGCCGATTTACATAATAGCCTTGTCGGTGCGCGATTATCGTCGCAAACGCGAGACTGACGTGGCGTCTGTATACCCTGCTATACTTATTTAATTTTTTTCTTCACAGTCCTTGTTAGTAGGCACAGGGTTTACGTTTTTTTACTTTTAACAGAATAAGGATATTCAATAGTCAACTTGTTTAAAGGCACAAGGGCATGGGCTTCTGAGTAAAAAAATACATCCTATTTGGCAAACGTTTTTTAACGCTTTATGACCTTAAAATATATCTTTTAAAATATGATTGTGTTATGTAGATTTTAAATAACAGTATGTATAATGGGTAATCGGTGTAATTAACCATTCCTGAATCATTACCGTACTTAACATTATTTTATAAACAAACTTAGTATGATGCTGATTTTAATTTTTAATACATATTGGACCATAACAATGGTGGGTCATCTATGTCTATGTCCTAGGATGAGAATTGTATAATATGAACGATTCAGCAATGCACCACAACAGCTAGAACTATATCGCTGAACTAGATGTCCCCCTGCTTTTCGCCGATTATAAAGACCGGCAATCAAATACAAGGTTAAACATAAAACATTAAATTTGTTAAGATTACATAACAGTTAAGCCGTTGCCGTGAAAACACTACGTAATAAGGCTAATAGCTATTTAAATACGATATTACATGTTCTATTGTATTTGTCAAAACTATGTTACACCTAATTATGTGGTAATCATACAAAATGTTTCATTTCGAGCTTGGATCTGTTGAGAGCAACAATTAAGTACTTACTACTAGTATTACAAATTTTATGTCCTCCGTCCACTAGGATACCCGGCTTAAATCCCCGGGGGGATTTATTTGGCTTTTTGTCCGATCCCTTAGGGGATCTGTTTGGAATTTTTACCCATTTTGATCCCCAAGGGGATTTATTTGAAAGTTTAAACACAACGTCCATTGCGAGGTGGGTGGGCAGAGTTCAGGGTCCCCTGTGGGATTTAGTAGTGGTTTAAGCGGTCGCCACGCCGCTCACTACTACGCTGAGTGCTGTGGGTTCGATCCCCACATGGGACGACACTTTGCGTGATTTACAAATTGTAGTTCTGAGTCTGGGTGTTTTTTGTGTCCGTTTCATGTATGTTTGTAAAGTCCTCCGCGACACAGTATTTTTTCCTAGTGCGGGAGTTCTTTTAAAACAAAAAAAAATTTGGAGTTTTTATCCGCAGCAATGCCATACATACATATATGGTTACTGGTTAAGTCGACCAACATACTTTAGACTTGTTTTCACAAAGAAATACCATATCCCAAAACTAACCATTGTTAAAATATTGGACTTTTAAGTATTTTTAATTCCCGAAATGTTGCATTTTTAATTTCTTACTATTTTTGCGTCGTTGACACGTTGTTTTATTATTTCCATTATCAAAATTGTAGTTAACAAACTGGGCAGAAATAAATGAAACATGATTGCTGGATGAAGCATTTTTTTTTTGACCAATATTTAAAACAATCAACAATCGTGTCTAAGTCCAGTAGAACTGCGTAACTTATAGCATTATAACTAGTTGGACTTGCGGCATTCTTCTATAAACGTATATCACACACACATACACAGACTACATGCGTATGATTATAAAGTAATCTGAATTTACTGGCTATAAAAAATTTGCTACTAGTGGTTGTTTATATTGAATATATGTATTCAAAAAGCAAGCAAATATTAGTAAAAATGCAACTAAATATTAGCATTGAAGCCAAGAAGAACATTATAGTTTTGAAAAGCAGTGGGCTTAATTTATCTGAAATGAATAATAAATCCAATGAAACACGCTTAAGTATAAGTTATTTTGTTCGATTTTGTAATGTTAACTGTGGTGTATTACTTTATTTTTTATTATTTTAAGTGTTGGTGTCGTAAGTTTTTTTTTTGAAAAAAGCTGTGAGTCATTGTGCGAAAATATTGTTTAACTAGCCGCTGCCTATTAATTTCTCAGCGGCGGTTTATGGTTGGTGAATATGAAGAGAATGGTTTCATACAAACTAGATCCCAATTATGGCGAGGTTTTATATATTATTTATCCCGTGTAAGACATTAGTGAAAGTGTTTTGTTCAAGATAACTGGCTGTACTGGCTATACTGTGCTAGTTGTTAGTAAATGGTTTTGCCAGCAAACGGATATTAATTAAGATTATTCCATGGCGAGCGCGATCCACTGATCTAAAAATTACAGAAAACGAATGGGGTTTAGTGGTTTCCATGCGTCAACGTCTTTTTAGTTAGGCAATAACAACCGAGGTCACACAAAATATTATTAAAAAAAGTTAAATTTAAATGCGGCCACTACGATAATTAGTATCCTGCCGTTCTCTTCTACACTTCTATGTAAGAGGATCTCTGGATACTAATTGATTAACTTAGGTAAATTTTCTCATAAAAAGTTTTAGTATTGTTCTTCATTATAATTTATTTTGGTTTGATATAATAACCACCTACACATTAAAACTGAAGCGTATTTGTGGCACCTTCATCCTCGTATTATTAGTATCAATGCGCTTTTGGCGGCCCAATAATAGGGAATATGCACGTGACACCAAAATGGACAAAATATTTTTATTTGTAATTTTTATTGCTAAAAAAAGATACCCATACAATTATTTTTGAAATTTATTAGAATTTAATAGTGAAATTTAATCATCAAAAATTGGCTTTTTTAAGATTCCCTCGCAAATTTCTAAAACGCAACGCTATTGGTTGAATAAAATGTGACGTCAACCTACACTGTCAAGAGTGTCAAGAAGTTGTGTGTATTTGTAATATTTGGTTTCTGGTGATTATTTGTTTCATTTTAAGTTAATAACTAATACGTTTTCAGTGTTAAATTATTAAATTCCCACGTAGAAAGACTCAACACAATGACTGAATATACTTTGTCAGGTGCAGTTTTGATATTATTTGGGCACAAAGGAACGGCACAATATTTATAATAAGTTTTTATTGGCTTTTCCATGGTAATAAGTCAATTTTTATTACTCACTTTTTAACTTTCACAAACTTTGTGAACTTCACTCCGTTGTTGACATCGAATTCGTCTGAAAGTGTAATCTGATGTCACAAAAAAAACGCGCCAAAATGGACGTGTTCAAATTGCCCCAAAATGATAGTGATCTTAATAAATTTTTTTTTGCTTAACGGTTTATATTTCGGATGTGTTATATTTATTTTTGGTAATGTAATAACTAGTAGAATCGTTTAAAAAAATAAAAAAAATACATGCATATTCCCTATTGGCGTTGTGGTGATTGCTTTTACGGTTTTTATCAAATTTGGACATATCTGTCCTCCTCTCATATAGATACACACATACACATATCGGTCTCCTAAATCCTGGACTATTATAAATTGTTAGCTAGCTGACAATACGTCCATATTATTTAAACACATCTATAACTTAAATGTCATAGATTTTATTTTAAATATAGCTAAAGAAAACATTATATCATCAACCATCTACTTCGACTCAATTTGTTAAGTTTACTGCAATTTTGGTGTTGGTAATTATAAAACAATGTATCAATTCTACAAAAATCGTAAAGAAAAGAAAAAAATAGATAAATATTAGTTATGTAATAGACAAATTGTAATAAAAAATGTATTAGACGAAATTTCAATTTGTAAAAAAAATCCTTATTGAAAATGGTGTCAATCTATTTGTAATAATGGCAACTACAACGGGGATTGTAAAGTATCTAGATCAACTTAACCTGTTACCCTGTGTATGTATGTACATAACACAAATTCATAGGTAAAAATTATTAAAACGAACAAATTTTCAACATTTGCAAAAGAAAAAATAACTAAAACAACATGTACAGAAAAAATATATTAATAGCCATTAAAGATAAACAGCTCACATACATACAGCAGAAAATTCGCCTAGGCAGTTTAAACAGTTAAAAAAAAGCATTTAAAATAAGTCGCAGTCATGAAAACTTTTGCAGACACACACAAATAATATACATTGTATATACAGATTGAGATGGAATGGGAGCAAATAAATGCAAACTTACATAGGCAGTTTGCTGGCACGCCTTTTCTTGGATTAGCCCATGACAATCCCAATTGCACTCTGCAAAAGAAAAATTATCATTATTTTTAATACTTCGTCAAGCTTTAATACTGTTAGAAATGAGAAACGAGAAGAAAGGACCAAACAAAGATTATACAGGCTGAAATAGGCATTAATCGAGCAAGGTCGCGAGCAAAAGCTAGTATCATACAAGTCATTTAAATTAAATACCTCGAGTTGCGAAATTTGGCTGACTTCTCCATCATATCCCGAATTACAATGTTGACCTTTTTCGGTTGCGGTGAATCCTTTCCGCACGGGCATTTTTGGTTTAACTCAATACACCTATAAAAAACAACTTCTATAGCAAACATAATAAACATTTTACATTTTATAATGTGACTATAGTTGTATTTAACTAGTATATTTTCAGTAACGTTACATACGCAGTGCATCGTGTGTGACCACATGTTCCGGAGATAGGATGTATAGGATATAAACCGCAGCTTCGACAACACATTACTTCTTCATTTTTATTCCTTGTGAATAGCGCGAACTTGATGACTTTATTCGCTACTTGTTTAGCTAGGAGGTTAGGCTGGGGCATATTTTTTACTGAACGAATTTGCCGTCTTCGCGGCGAGGGCCCAGGTGGCGGTATTCTTTGGTGACTGAAGGGGATAATTAATGTTCTATTTAAATTTAGTTCTTCATAGTTAGAGGAACTAGTACTATCATCCGATGTAGAGTCATCATCGTTTTCTGACTGCTCATCATCATCGTCATCGTCGTCGTCATCGTCGTCGTCAGTTTTACTACTTGCACATGTGTCAGGGGCCTGTGACTGACGAGGGCGGCGTCTACGGGGCCATACTTCGCTCTTCGGAGGTCCATTTGGTTTGCGGAGCGCCAGAGTCTGTTGAAAAAATGTCATCTAAGTAAATTGACAGACAGATACATTGCACAAAACATTCCAATTAATAATGAGATAAGTATTGAGAACGAAACGTACGAATGTGTTGAGAGAACAACGAGCTCGCCTTAGTGACAATATTATTCGGAACAAATAAAATAGTGAAAGCATCAAACAGCGAGTTGCGATATACGTAGTAACGTCCTGATTTAAGGTTTTAAAAATGTGTCCGGAAAACGCATACTTGCGTGTAATCCAGTATTACACGTAGATTACATTTACACTTAGATTATATTAACACGTAAATTTTCTTTTGCTCGAATTAAATATCAATACTCATAAGTGGAACGACGAAAAATATTGAACTTGGCCCAGAATAGTAGAACCGGTTCCGCGGTGGTAACTGCATACGGAGGTCGCGCAGTGCGCGTTGATTGTACATAATAGAATAATGCAATCGAAGCTCGGCGGCTCGCAACGTTGATTCCCGTACTGCGCTATACATGTGTGAATCACAATTTAATGCATCCATGTAGTGTGCGTTACTGTGACGTTTGAATAAGTAGGTTACAGCAACAGTTCAATGGTTTGTCTTCAGATCGAACCACACCAAAAAGATCCCTTCTGAAGAATCATGCATGTTTAAAAGATGTACTAGTAACTCGTGATAAACGACCCGCTTAGCTAGACAATTTTGTTAGTGGTTATTGAATAAGTATTAAGAAAATCAACTTCTATACTTTCTTGTACTAACTACATTATATGACACACTAGTAAGTACTCACTTTAGCGAATCCGATTCTTTTGTAGATACTTACATTATGTGAGCCAAATCTAGTGAACACCCAGGTATCTCATGATTATCACTTTGTTAAACTGACTCTATACTTAGGTATAATTACAGGACTGTAGCAAAAAAATATTATAGAAGAAAGAACTAAGAATAACCAAGAATGGAATCTTGGTTCTAAAAGTGACAAGCGGTACCGTTGCACATTGCTTGTTTTAAACCGATTTGATTTTAATATATAAATATGGTAAGGCGTAGTAAAGCAATGTAAGCACTGCTGATCACTTGCCATTCATCAATGTAAATTTGCAACTTCAAATAAAATTTAACAAAGCTTAACTTTTTTCGATTTATAGTTAAATTTTCCGATTCGAAATCATCAAGTTTAACGACCATTTGTGAGCATATTTTGAGCGAACTTAAAATAAAATGAGCAGTGTTCTCAAATGAGAAGTGAACAGCATGTTGGGTTTGATGAGATGTTACGGCCTCGTACATACAATATTTTGATTACTTTTATTAAACAAATTAACGTAATGGTAAACCTAATAAATCTATAAGTACTTGAATGCATGTGAAGTGACCTATTAATTTGATATTGTCTGTTAATAACGGACTCCAGCATCATGAAACGTTATGTTGTGTTTCTTAGACAGTCTCAGATGTTTTATTAAATATTTAACCTACATAGGTACATGTTATCATTATTGATAATCTTATTATTAAGCACAAATAAGAAATTAGGTCATAGTTTTGTTTATTGTGTCAATGAATAAACAACCATTTACATGAATTTATCAATATAACAATTACATCTTTTTTTTTTATTCAGAACAACTCATGCAGTTTTTTTTTCCCAAAAGTAAATAAAAATAAATAACTGATTTTCAATAGAAAAGAAAACGCTCTTGAATCCAGTTGCGTCTAGAATAAAGAAGAAGGTTTTCATTTCAAAGTAATCTTGCGTAATACTGAACCGGCAATATAAGATGGAGTAACATTGTAGAAAATATGTATTGTTTGAACTTTTTTTTATGTTAGAGAGGGCAGATGAGCAGACGGGTCACCTGATGGAAAGTGACCATGGCCGCCCATGAACGTCTGCAACTCAGATTATTACGTCTCAACTTTATTCTATGTATTATAATATTATAGAAAAATCTAAAAAAGAACATCATTAGCAAATCAAAATAAAACCCTGAAGCTGTTAAGACAATTTAATAATAGTAAATAATGACTTACTTCGAATATAACCTGGAAGGGCCCGATATGAAACGCTCGTCGGCCATTATACACCGTATACAGCGTCCGCTGAGAAAGGTTGATTCAACTAAGCATTAAGCGTTATTAATAAAGTGTTAATGTAGGGTGGTAAGCTAGATAAGAAAAGCGACATTGTTACAGAGGTAGTGCTAATGGATATGTGTAACCTGTAAGTGACGTATACCCGTGTGCCAGGACGAAGCAGTGCGCAAAATAATAAAAAAGAAACGAAGCCATGCCGCTTCCCGCCTCTCACCTCAGAACATTCGCATCTTAACTGACGTACTGGTGTTGGTCTCTGGACTGCAGCCTAGAAGTTTTGATTTTACATACAATGAGAGGCTTTTGTACTTATACCAATTTTAGTTTAAGTTGTACATAACACCGACTTCATAAGGTTTTACGGAACATTAATACAGTTAACTTGGACTATCTTACTTTTCTAAACAATTAAAAAATGTAAATGAACAACCTGTGAGTGTTGGTTAATAGTGACCTTCGAACAGATATGGAGTAGGTTGCTATGTACACTTAGATCATCTCTAGACAGTAAACAGCATAAATATTTTTTTAAGAAAATATTTATAGAATTATATTATGTTATTTTATTTAATTATGTTTATAAATGACAATGAATTTAAAGCCAATTAGAATTTTGGATAAATACAATACTGATATACATATTACATATAATAAATAGAATAAAAAGCGAATTAATTATTTATATTAATAAAATTTCAGCGCCTGGTTTGCAGTCCACTTCAAATAAGGATAATTTGAAATTATTACTACGTATTTATTGATAAAACTAAGGTGCAACTACTTATGATCATAAAAATATTAATTTTGAAAATCAATTAATAAAAACAGTAACGTTCATCGGACCAATAAGAATTGAACAGAATGTCACTATTATACATAGTGTACTTCGAATCCTAAAGAAATTACACTCCAAAAATCTGTTCGAAAAGTTTCTTGAAATATTAAATTGCCTAGATTGTTAAAGATTTATCAATCCCAATACTTTTAGAAAATTTCAACTTGAAACTCAAGATTGACTTGAATTCCTTCACCAAAACACACTTCACTTTAAAATATTAATGAAAAGTGTAGTCTACTTAGCTGTATCTAATTTAGGCTGTCCGCTGGTCTCACACTAGGATCCATTTTAATTTTTTTGTGATAGATCATGGTTGGCTACAATGAAATTAATCAAAAAACATTTTTTTTTCTTGATCTACATAAGATTTGTGGCCTCTCAGTAAAGAAACTAAGCAGTATTCCCGCACCGATAAAGAATATTCTGAGACGATCCTGTACAATAGTCGCTCCATATTCAGAATTTCCTCTCCATTTTTTTGAATGGAAAGGAAATTCGGAACATAACTTTTTATGTTTAAAAATACACAATTATTTGATTAACCATTAAAGGTTTAGTCAATAGTGACCTTAAAGAATCGTTCGTTTAATTCAAATTAAATAGCTTATTTTACAATCGCTTTTGATAAAAGATTCTCAATATGACTTGTACTAGTTCGCCTTTTAAGTTCTGTCGTTTCCATATTTCCCGGCAATTTTGAATTTGGAACTGTTCTAAATTTGAATGTGTTTAAATTTTGAATCTCAAAACAGTTGAAAGTATTAGGATTAATGCTATCGTTTAGTCACAGCGTCGATTGAAATCTGTCAGGTTACGTACGAAAATGAATCTTTCTAACGAAAATGTTCGTGCAATAATTTTCTACAAATTTAGAAGAGGCCTGACACGGCTTCAGTGTTTTGAAGAGCTAACATCTGTGTTCAGTGATGAAGCCCCGTGTCTGCGGATTGTCCAACGCTGGTATTTAGAATTCCAGCGTGGACATACTAGTGTTAGTGACGAATCTCGCGAAGGACGCCCAAAATCCGCCTTCACTGAAGATAACATCATTGCTGAGACAACTAATTCTCGAAGATCGTCATGTGACGTATCGAGAGATAAAGGTTCTATTAGGCATCTCAGGGACAACCATTCAGAAGATCTTGCATGAAGCGCTTGGTGTGAGAAAGCTAGTTTGCCGTTGGATACCGCATCTGCTTGCCGACGATGGTGTTAGAAAACTCTGCAAAGGTTCAGCCGAGGAGAGTCAAATCACGTCTACGACATCATCAGTGGTGACGAATCTTGAATCTTTGCCTACGATCCTGATTCCAAACAACAATCTACAATCTGGGTCTTTCAAGACGAGCCAAAGCCGACTAAAGTTGTTCGTTCTCTATTGCACTTCAAGATCGTAGAACGGTTAACGCAGAGTGGTATAACACTGTTTAATACAAGTCATCGCCGAACTTCGAAAATCTAACTCAAAGCGACGCATCATCCTGCACCACGACAACGCAAGCTCACACAGCGCTCGTCAAACGATTGAGTATTTGAAGCAGGAAAACGTAGAAAGTCTTGACCATCCTCCATACAGTCCTGACCTAAGCCCTAACGATTTCTTTACATTTCGTAAAATTAAGAAAAGTCTTCGTGGTCAAAGGTTACAGTCCGGTGAAGAAGCAGTCGACGCTTTCCAGTCAGTCATTTTTAACACCCCCACTTTAGAGTAGAATAAATGTTATAATAACTGGTTTGAGCGAATGGAAAAGTGTATTAAGCTACGTGGTGAATACTTTGAAAAACAATAAAAAGTACTATAAGGTTCTAGTTGTGTTTTTTTCTTCAAACGACAATACTTAAAAGACATGCGTCGTAATAAATCAAAACCCAATAAGAAAAAAACTCTTTAAAATATTTAATACCTACAATGCTTTATTTCTGATATATTGCGAGATTACTGAATAAAAAACGGTTTTCAAAGTTATTTTGCAATAACAAAGTATCTTCGCGACCACGTCCATTATAACTTTTTAATGGGCAATGACCTTCAGTTTCCGCCAGATTTAATTCCATCCAGAATCGAAATAAAAACCTTTGACACCCCGACTAGGAGACTTTTGATGTGAAATGTAGATCACATTAGATATAGAAACATCGTATTTTTATTACTTCTCTCCTATATACCCACAAATCAATTTTCAATATTAGCAAAGCTGAGATAATTATATGGTTGTGCTGGCACTGTTGCTATGTACCAGGTCTATGGTTGTCGATAATCTATATAAGCTAGTATAGAAATGATATAGTTAGTTTGTTTGGTTAAACACTCGCACTCGCAAATTTGAAAATTATTTTAGTGTTGAATAACTCATTAATAGGATAAAGGCTTTTATTCTTAATTAAAGTTTAACGTTTGAGTAAATCCTAATGTCTTATAGTTTATTTCGTATTTTTGTGTTACCCATAATCTTATTTACAGTTTTACAAAATAATAGGTCCTTCTATTATATCTATTGAATAAAACTGATTAAGTTATTTTTTTTGTTTTATTTTATAATTACATTTGCCTCAGTAGTGCCTAATATCTTAGATTGAAGTGAAACTTTTATGTAATTTTGTTTAATTAACTTTGTTCCAAAACTTCTGCAAGAATGAAAGTTAAATCTACGAGTATGTCAGTTTCTAAAATCAATCAGATTATGCTACAATCATTATGAAAATATATAAAATTAATTTTTGTTCTAAGGAACAACATACATCGAGCAAAAAAAATGATAAGCGTATTTGATACAAACAAAAGCAAATGCACACCGGATCTCACTACCGAATACACTTACTAAATGACTTGAAAAACTAAATGGACGACGCATTAGTAAAGTAAATAATTCGGATTCGACAATCGACAATAAACTAGATATAAAAATATTAAGTTGGTTTGTGTACTCCACAAAAACTCAAAAAGTTCTGCATCGATTGAGCTTAAATATTGACACGATAGACGAACCCATTCAAAGATTGCTTTTATTTTATATTATTTTTTGCATTACATTATATTATCAGTTCCCATGTGCACAATGCAACCACAATGTGCCACAGCGAAGCAGGGCAGGGCCCAGTTAGAAGGTTATATTATCATTAAAGTCACAATACAATTTTTGCGTTCATATCTATTTACAAATGTTCAAATTTTATGTTAAGTTAAAATAATAATACAAAAACCTCCTTTATTAATTAACATACATTTTTATTCAGATATTGATTTTATAACACTATTTTTAATAAATGGAAACTGATCTCTATGAAGACAGCTGGTAATACAGTCGTCCTTCGTTATTCAAAATGAAAATAATGTTTTACACTCCGAAAACATCGAAAACAATTACCCTTAGATTATTTGTATCTCTAGGTGGACATTCAAAGCTGTGAAAGCAGAGAAAGAAATAGCGTCCAACTGTTGGCCTCTAAATGCTTTTCCCACGTTTAGTATCAGAAGTGCTGTCACTAGATACGCACACGTTAATTTCTTATTTTGTGTTGTTTATAATGACGATTTGTTTGATAAAAGCGTGTAGAAATTATAAAGAACAATCTAAATGAAATTAAAGAGTCACCTAAGATTAAGGTAAGAACCATTGTTTTGTATCTGTTTCAGTAAAATAAGCCACTGAATTATTTCTAAAATAAATTACTATTGTATTCACCATTTTATGTGTGTGCCTAGATTATGAACTCAAGTCAAAACTTCTTTAAAATGTGGCGTACTACTCGTATGTATTGTATGTAATACTTATTAGTAACTTCTCCTTATTCTGCAGTTATGTGAATTAGTGATATTCCAAAGCGATTAAATTTAAAGGGTTATAATTTTAAAGTGCATATTTTGGTATACGAGTAATAAAATAATGATTTTTGGTTGGAGTAACACATGGGCTGAAAAGTCACGGGCCTAACATTTTCAAATTTTGGCTTTATTTTTCAACGTAATCTCCATCAAGAGCAACACAATCTTTCCAGGCCCGCTCTAACATTTCAATACCACTTTTGTAGAACGAGTTATCTTTTGCCTCAAAATAGGCCTCAGTTACAGCGATACCCCATTCATTCGTGCGAAATTTCTTACAGGTGGGCATTTTTTTTGTCTGTTTGTTTGGTAGCTGGGAGCCAAATCTGGCGAATACAGTTGATGTGGGAGCAATTCAAGGTTCGATTCATGTAGTTTTGCCATTGTTTTGATTGACTTGTGACTTGATCTATGACTTTTTGATTGACTTGTCTTTATGAAACAATGTTTTCTTTGTCATTTCTGTGTAATTTCGGCCTTCCAATAACGCTATATAACATTCACTGTTGATGGTACTTTCTAGCCGCTTGTTGTGCTTTCGGACGCTGTGGACGAGGTGCACTAGTTGCTCTCCACTCAGATGACGATCGTTTTGATTCCGGAATGAAGTGATGGATCCAGGTTTCATTCATTATCACATACATCGACCCAAAAATTCTGGCTTGTTACGTTTAAGCATGGCCAAACACGGCACCCACTTTGAACAGAGTTTTTTCATAGTCAAATGCTCGTGCAATATAAAGCCAACACGTTCTTTTGATATCTTTGCGATATCAGCTAACTCACGCAACTTCACTTCACGATCATTCAAAACGATTTTGTGGTTTTTTTTTATGTTTTCTGGTGTTACCGCATAATTTGGACGTCCACTACGTTCTGCATCATCGGTGTCGCTACGACCACGATTGAAGTCAGCAAACCAACGTTTTGTTGTTGTTTCTGATAGAGCGACGTCCTTATAACACTTTCAAGCCATTGCTTTGATTGAACGGATTTTTTTCCCATCAAGAAGCAGTGTAAAACTAAAACACGAAATTGTTTTTGATTTATTGTTTTGAAAATAACAAAACTCACTCACTCTTAGCACAATAACTCACAAACCTTTGAGTAGAACATAATGAAATTTTAACAGCTATCTTTTGAAGGTTAGTACTAACTGAAAAAGCGGTAAATGCAATAAGACGATACATGTGTTAAATTCGGAACTTTTCAGCCCATGTGCTATAATTCATGGATTGGCGTTGACTGCAATGGTGTAGAAGTAGCGTATGCGACTGCTGTGCAAACATCTCAGGTTCGATTTCCGGGTCGGAAAAAATGTTTGTCGATCAGCAAATATTTGGTTCGGAGTTAGTGTGTTTTCTATATTTATATAATATATACGAATTTACAAAAAAGTATATAGGTATTCAGTCAGTCGATCGTCGATAGCTTTCACAGTTCAAGCTCTACTTTAACATTATTTTACTCACATACATCACTGGACTAAACTATAGTTTATTGTGAGTAAAATAATATCTCGAGTTGATCAAGACGTTCACATTTGATTATTTTCAACCCAATTGGTTGAAAATAATTAATATTGAGAGTAGGTAGGTAATCTAGAAAAATATACTCAAAGAAAAAACAGTAGTCTGTTTTTTTCATAAGAGTATATTTTTCTAGATTAAAATTGGTTCAACACTTATAATTTAACCAATGTTATAGAAAATTTTCAACAACTGGTATAGTTTATGAACGCACACTAGGAAAGCAGGGTAATGTGGCACGAGTGTAAGACGAAACTGTCACGCACACTAATATTGAAAACTAGGCTCATTTGTTTGTTTTTGCAGCGCGATGCTCTATCTAGACATAATAATAATCTAAGCAATTATGTCCGTTTGAATTAGGGAGCCCCTTAATGAAATTTAATTATTTAGTAGTAAATTAAAAAATATTTTAGCCTCAATCCTCGATTTTGTGAATAATATTAAGTTATATTAACATAAAGGTGGCTCCTCAATCTAAATGTTTGGATTGAGGAACCACGTCAGAACCAGGAATATAATGGATGTATATTCATCATAATTTAGTATAATTTTGTAGTATTTTACAGTAGTTAGTAGACAAAATCTGAGCTCGGTAATGTTAAAATTCATAAAATTATTATATATGTGGCTCCTCAGACCATACATACGACTATCATTTTTCAAAGAAGCAGTCTTTTAATTGATGCGCAATTTCTTCATCATTTAGTAGTAAGTATATTAAATTTGTAGTGTAACGAGTCAGTAATTAAAAATGAGTGAATTGGGAGATATGCCACATTTTAACTAGCTCCTCAATTAAGATGCTTTGTTAAATAGATTTGACTCTAATACACTTACACTTGTGACGAAATTTGGAAAATAAAACATCTTTATTTTGTATAAATTTATACTAAATGTACGTATCATCCCGTCATAAAAAGGTACAGTAACTACGAAGTTATTATTAGCTATTCTTTAATTTCCTAACAAAGAAATTTGTAGTGTGTCTATGAATAACTTGTATAAAAGGTATTTTTTCGTTTCGTTTCTTACACAAATCTATTTTATTTCATATAATTATTTGGAGGTAACTGCAAATGAATGTTGTTACCACGACACAAGAGTCAGTATCTCAACACTGATAAACAGTTATTGCAGACGTAGTGAATGATTACTTTTATATTTAATTATACCTATCGATACAAAACGCGGCAAAAATAGGTAGTAGTAGGTAGTATAATAATACGTGTTATAGAATTCAATTATCCCTGCAATTAGCGACGCTGGCATGCGACAACTATACATATCACTACCCAACAAAGGATGAAATGTTTTGTTATGACTATGATTCTCAATGTAAAATTCGTCAAAGCCGGTGCTTTTTACAGCCTTTTTAAGTATCGTAATTAGTCGTCCACTTAGTATTTCTATGATCATATTTCAAGATATTAATATCTCTGAATACATTCGTAAGGTTGAATAAAACTTACGTAGGTGTGGAACGACTTCCTTAGTAGCAGATCTATGTGTTCAGCGGGAGGTCTATATGGCATCGCAAATCTTGATGCAAGTAAATCCATATCTTCATCCGAGTCTGATTCCTATAAAGAATAAATATAAAATTACTAAAGACTCGTATGTTAAGTATAAACCAGAAATTAAAATAATTAACCTGCCAATTAAAGAATTAAAATTAGGTTTAGGCGTTTTAAGCAGATATTCGAAAGTTGATTTGGTACATGGTACATTAAATTTCTTCAAAACCATACTCGTATGATCTGATTGCTCATTCAAAGTGATTTTTGTCGTTTTTTGTTACTATTTCTAGTGACAAAACTCTGTCTGAGTCTGAAAACCAGTGACATAGGGTATTATCGTTAGTGGCGATATTTAGACGTAATCAGAAAAGTCATCATTATAGACTTGAGTAATCCTTATAGCAGCAATAGATCACCTTCCTAGGTCGTTTGTCAATGATCTTATCATAGAAAACCAAATAAATAATATACGGCAGATACCGGTTAAAAACTTAAAATTCACTCGATGTCAAAATGTAGGTATAAATAACTGTTACTTAACCGTCAGATCGTCCACGTAGAAATGATTCTCTCGGTGCTGGCTCTCTCTCGAGGAGGATCTAGAACCTCTGATAGGGGGTAAACGTATTGTTCTTCTCCAACAGGCTGGTCGCCTTACCATTATTGGCGACCGGGACCGAACGGGGGGTAGCGGAATATCATTCAGGTTTAATGGGCGGTTGGTTTCATTTTCTGCAATAGTGCTTGATTGGGTGGTAGTGGCTATTTCGTTAACACTACTTGGTCCTGCTGTCGAGGAAGTACCCACACTGATACTCATTTGCTAAGAAGAGGAAAAAGTTTTGGTGAATATCGGCTTTTTCAAAGGGAAACAAATCGGTTTTTAAAGTAAAGATTAGGCAATGCGCATTACTTGCAACAATTTTCAGCTAGTGCATACCTAATGAAAATATCTCTATTAAAAGTTTTCCTATGATAACAACAAAGTTTTCCTGGTGCTCAACAGTTTTAGACCTTAGTTCGAGTACTGCTTCTGACTGAAATTCAATGCATTGTCTAGGAAAAGCGAAAAATTAACAAATGACTCAAAATTACTAACTGCTACCGTGAGTGGTCGTACCTAGGCCTTGGCCCGCTGCAGATAGAGGCAATTCAAAAAATAAATAAACATTCACAAGTCGTCAATCAAAATCATACGTGAGATGGCATCCTTTTAAAAATTGCGATTTCTTTTGGTAATAACTAAGAATTTTAGACTATATATAACACAGAGTCAATCTAGCTTAGTTACAGAATACCTTAATCTGTTAAGCTTGGGGCTGAGGTTTGTGTAATAGTCAATAACCAATAACAATAACAAAAAAAAAGATGATGTGAAACACTCACGGGATCTCCTTCATTTAAACGCACAGGTGGCGATACTGATGCAGATGAAGAGCTTTGCATATTCGGGATCTGTAAGAAGAAAATGTCTTACTTTTTTTGTATAAGTTAAATTTTGCTCTGACTTTGCTTGTCACAGGTTTTCCAAACTTAAAGTTTTAAAGAACAGGTATGGTTCACAAGTTCTGAATTACTGAACTTATTTTGGTTTTTGAATATGGCATAGTATTGGTGAGCATCATCACTAAAATTGTGCGACTATACATACACAGGTGCGGTGGTGAAAATGTAAGAATATACTTATGTAGGTATTTAAAACGACCTATGTTTCTTGAAGTATCATGCCAAAGCCGATCGAAGGCCTTTACTTAAATTAAAAACTATCATTGATTGGATTAACTGAACTGATTAAAATATGGCAAAACCGGACAAGTGCGAATCGGTCACCGAGGATTTTTTTGTATGATTTAATTACAAAAGTATAGTTTCAGATTTTTCCCTATATTTGTAGTATACGACGGTATTACTTTCATAGTTGTTTCTTAATTTCATAGTTGTGGGTCAACGGATAATAGCCTGTAAATTTTTGATTCCCTTGAGTGTCGAAATATACGTTTTGCGGCATAAACGGCATCTTTTTTTAACATTAACTGAGGAGTTTCGTATTTTCACAATTTGAAGAGACTGTAAACCTGACTTTATCGTTTTAATTTTCAACTCGATACCTCCACGCGTTCCCGAGATAAAGGGTCTTGACATACATACAGACAGACGGACGGACGGACAACAAAGTGATCCTATAAGGGTTCCGTTTTTTTCCTTATGAGGTACGGAACCCTAAAAATGGACGAAAAGGGATAATAAAAACCAAGTAAAGACATTGGTCTAATTATTTCAAGAGAAAGTGAATAAAACGGCCGAGATAAATACAAGTTTTTTTTTTCACTTGATAGCAATATGTCACTCATATATATGTCACTTGATAGCAATAAGTACTCACATTAAAGTAATCGTGTTTTGAAGAATGTTGTTTAAATAAAATATAAGTCCGTAGACTTAGAAAAGATCCGAATTTTGCTATCGAAAGTAAACTCCTGAAATTATGAATTATCTTCATCATCTTGAAGGCCTTAGAATGACGCTGACTGCTAGACACGACTGTCTTGAGTACACGTAGGCTACATTTTCATCCACTATATCTGACTTAATAGCGCCTTATTTGCTTTTTTAATTAGACATCCTACTAAAACAAATTATTTGATTTCAATGCATCCTGTTAAGTCATAATCGCAAAATCAAAGTCGCACATAAACGTAACATTTGTGTATAACAAAATCATTTGGGCTGATGTGCTCAACGATGTTGCCTATTTTTAATTGTTCGTAACACTGTCAAATATTGTTGATAAAATAGTGTTTTCTCCTATACGCAAACTTTAAGTATAATGCCCCACGACTTGCAGATTTTTCTTTAAGAAATGAATGATTCATAAGACCGTGAAAGCGTTTTAGAGCTTTAGTCGTTACTCTAAGAATTACACTCACTGTACTTATTTTGGACCTTGATTTCATAAGGTAATTATTATATTCGGAGACATATTTTACATCGCTATCACACATCGGTTTTTTGAAATATTTACTATAATTATTAAATAATGTGAACACGTAAAAATACAATGAAAGATAATACTAATTATTACACTACGAGAAGTTATCAAATTTATTTGGGCGCTGTTGTTTTGGTGAATAAAGTTCATTGACTGAAAATTAACAGCCTTCAAATTCACAAAGCTCACAGAGAAGGTTATTAATATTACAAGTAATACGAGTAATGCATACTAATGTAATGTTATCGACTAGTAGTTCCATTTACAAATAAGATTACCATGTATTGTTATTTCTTCAAATTGTCATATTTTTGTGTGTAATTTATGTGATCAGTGATCCGGCAATCAAGTAATTGCTAGTTGGAAGAAGTAAATTAATCATCGTGTCAACATTGTGGTATTGCCTGCAACGGTTCTTACGCAAAACGAAGTAAGCGGTGGACTTATATAACGTGACCTACTGGCACACTGACTCTCTGCTGCGGCTCATGCCTCGCTTGCACTGACTGGGTACCGCCTTCCCACATTATCATACTGTGTTATCGCAACTAATTTTTTCCAAACTATTGTCATGTTATCATTCTACAATAGTAGTCAATCTGTTGACGAAAAGAAAGGCAGAGTCCAGTGTAGGGATCATGGAAAAATACAAAAAACATATGTAAACAATCTTACATACATGTATAAAATTACATAACAGAATAGGTTTTGAATTTATGCGACAGTAACATAACAAATTGGGAGCTCTGTTTTTAAATATATGTTCTTGTATTTCAAATTTTTATGTACTATTGTAATTTTTGCACAGATTTAAAGAAAAATATAGATATTGCTTGGTGGTTAAATTCCGATCATCAATAACTTTTAAATTATTTAGGATTGTTTAATTTCATTGCAGGTCATTTTTTTTAAATTATTATTCAAGCTATTCATTTCTAGAGTATTTTTGTATCTTAGTATCCTACCTTTGCACTGTCCTACGTGTGCTTTGCTTAAAACTAAGGACATAAAGAGAATTTGTGTATGTTTAAATAATACAGATTACATGATATGTATACAATGCTGTGTGTGTAGAACATAATATATTATCTCATATTCACATATATTAATTTTTAACGAATATATTCAAATGAGCTTTAACGCCGGATTCCGTTCTCACTGATTCCAGTTAATGTAACGCGAAGCTGGCGGGATTTGTAGAAGTAGTTACTCTTGACCTCCATTACGTTACTACGTGACTCACTGAATAACGACTTGCAATAAATTCACATAGATAACGGATAGAACCGTTTCGTTCTGGTAACGTGCATGGTAAGTAAATAGATCCGATATATTAATATTGGAATAAATATGATGTAATAACCTTTTCTCATATAATTTTCAGCCCGGGTGGGTAAGTTCATAATCTAATCAAAAGTATCGTTTTTACCAATCTCAAATCACTTTTAAACCATTTTGTGTATACATTCTTTCTAAAGAGATTGAGTTTTTCTTTAATTTTTAAACTTAAACATCAAAAAAATTGTTGTAGTTGCTTCATATCATCATCATCAATAGCCTTTAATAGTCCACTGCTGGACATAGGCCTCTCCTTAGAAAGGAGGTTATAGCAGACATTATTTCACTAGGTAAAGATTGCTGCGGTCTCTGCATATATTATAACATTATAACAACAATACTCATTATAACGTAAGATTGACACGTGTAATTGTTTTGTTTTAAACATTTAACCCAAGCGTTTACACAGGGCTACAAGCGTGGCTACGAGGGTCATACAGGGTCAAACATTCAAAATATTTAAATATGGGGTGAGCTCTAGCATATGTTAGTATACTCGTAGATCAGAGATGGCCTAAACTTTGTATGTTTTGATGAAACAAAACATTCAAAGTTCAGGCGGTTGCATCTCAACTTTCATTGTTACAGTTACAATGTTGTACAGATAAACGGTCGGCCTATAGCATAAGACTATTTTGTACGTTTGAATTAGTGACCACGCTGCTAAATATTTTGTAAATTGGACCTACCATTTTATTTGCAAAAATGGGGACCTTAAATAATGTGTAGTGCTTTCAAAAAATTTGGACGGCAACGACAATTTCACGGTGTATAAACCTAACCTATAACAAAATTTATCAATTTTTCGAGTCGGTGCCAAGCGAAGTATCTCGAAGTATATTTTGTTACACAGTTTAAGTAGGTAATTAGATACATAATGAAATACATATAACCATGCTTTAGATTTTGAACGATAGATGGCGTCGTGCGGATTACGCGGATTTCTTAATCGCGGTGACAAGATTTTCCGTTGAACAATGACACACATGATATTTATTGGTAAACTGTTGTTCGTAGGGTTAACATGTTCGATATTCGAAAAGGTGCAAATAGTCGTAAAATTTAATTAAACAGTCGCTCAGGTTCGATTGTTTTTGGGCAAGTTTAGCTCCGAATGGATCTTATTCTTGATACAAGATTTTTTTTTTATTATCTAAATTGTTTACCTTGTAATAATTATTTTACGCATTTCGATAAATGTCATTTTGTTGTGTTTATTTGGTAGTTTTTATTAGTATTATTGTAATCTATCGTATAAGGCTTGGCGCAGACTCTAAAAATTGACAAAGTTTGTTATAGGTTAGGTAGGTTTGGTTATACAGTTTAGATTTTCAAGATTTGATTTATTGTATTTATTATTAATTTAAACTTTTTAGTGCTAATAGTTTTTTAAATTCGTTTTTAGGGTTCCGTACCTGAAAAGGTAATAAAGGAACCCTTATAAGATCACTTTCTTGTCTGTCTGTTTTTTTTTTGAGTTTTTTTATTTTTCAGAATTTTCTCTTTACTTGTGCTGTAAGACCTTGCTTTTAACTAAAATTGACAATTCTAGGTCAACCAGAAGTACCCTATAAGTTTTGGGTCGAAAACCTATATGGTAGTTCCTATTGACCTAGAATCAGGAAATTTGGCAAAAAGAAACGTCTTACAGCACAAATAAGAAGGTAAATAAAAAGGTAAATAAAAAGGTTGAAAATTAAGAGAAATTTTGGTACTTACAAATTTTGGCGAAAATCTACGTAAAATCTGGGTAGGTACGAAACCCACGGCGCACGAGTTCGATTCGTACCTGCCCGGTTTTATTAACTTGGTATGTATGTAATGGAATCTTCAAACGTGATTTTGACCTACTTCAAATTCTACATAAATAGATTTTTCTTTTTGGACTTATATAAAATTATTTTCTACTTTTTAGTTCATATTTGGAGTTGTATTTTGAATATTTATTTCAATTTTATTTTACTGCTGGGAATTCTCCCAACTGTGAAATAATATGAAGCTGTGAATATTGTATATGTGAAAGTAGAACCGCGTAAACTGAGATATAAAACTAATATTCGGTAACTAATAGTGGAAAATCTAAGAATTTAAATAAATAATTTACACAGTCCGCTTGGGACTAGATGGA